TTCAATATGTAAAATCAACAACGATTTTATTTAAAATAAGTCGAGCTGCTTCGAAACGCGTTGCTCTTTTAGTGTGGGCGCGAAAAGACAGACGTTGATTGCCTACGATCTAAACCAAACAAAACGTTAATTTTCGGCGTATGCATAGAGCAACCTTCGATTTTTTCATCAGTGTAAATTTCATTTTGAACTTTTTTGAACTTTTTGTGCTACACGCCATAGACGTCAGTGCACAGTTGTTCTCTCATAATACGGTGAAATTGGTCATTTGACGTTGTTGTTTTGCAGACCGGACGGCTAAGAAATGTACCAAGTGCAGAGCCATTGTACGAGAACGTCACAAAACAATAGGTGTAATTAGGCAGTACAATGGCTTTGCACGCGTGCGTTTAATTTACATATTGGTACATTTCGTAGCCGTCCGGCCCTTCTGCAAAACAACAACGTCAAATGACCAATTTCACCTTATTTTGAGAGAACAAAGTTCTGTGCACTGACGTCTAGAGCGTCTAACTCGAAAAGTTCAAAAAAGTTCAAAATGAAATTTACACCGATGCAAAAGCGAAGGTTGCTCTATGCATACGCCGCCGTTTTGTTTGGTTTAGATCGCACGCAATTAACGTCTGCCTTTTCGAACCCACACTAAAAGAGCAACGCGTTTCGAAGCAGCTCGACTTATTTTAAATAAAATCGCTGTTGATTTTACATATTGAACCCGTTCTTTATTGCTTATAGCTTTACCAACATGTTGACATGTTCATTCTACAAAACTAAGTGGAAATCCGTACCGTTCTCTTGTGGCAATCCCTTTTCTGCATCAGCTATTGAACTTCATTTGCTGACATGTTTGAACGCGAGCGCTCTCGAGGGCGCTCAAATCCAGTCTCACTCCGCATCAAACATCGCACAAGAGCGCAGTGGTCGTTTCACCGCCCATCCATTCCAGCGCCCTGCTGTAAAATAGCAAGTTATATTTTAGCCAGATTAATCACTCTCCTGGACTAAATCATTTTTCTTATAACTGTAGGGGCCGTCTATGCGTTAAAAGTATGAGGCATTGAAAACCATGCGTTATACTGGGTTTGCATTTGCGTCATAACAGATAGTCACGTGGTCCGAAGCAACCAATCAAAATCTTCCAATTTTACAGCGCATGAAAGTTAAATATTATTTCTAGTACAATGCAAAATAAGTTTCAATATGACTATACCATGAATGTTGTAACTTACTTGAGAAACCTGAGAGTAGACGGCGCCTTTTTGTTGAAACAACAACACGTGAAAGCAATCGGTAGCTTCACAGGCTCAGAATAATATTGAAAAGAATTCGACAATGCTGATTGGAAGTAGTGGATTCAGTAAAAATGTTTAGACACACTTGTGCCAAACTTTATTGACATAGTACACATTCTTGTGTTATAGATTATCATTGTTTATCTCCTGAAAGGCGTTAGAAAAGAAGATTTGCTTTGGCCATATTAGTTTTTTTCGTTTGAACTTCTAGCCATTGCAATTTTGGTGACCTATACACTCCATTACGGATAAGTTGTCCAATAATGACAGCAAGTATCATTTGTTTTGCAGAATCACCACACTTCACTACAAAGCTTTCTCCTTCTGTGACGTTTAAAGAGAAACAAAACGTCACATTGCGTTGCAAAGCAGCTGGGTTTCCACCGCCCGTGATCACGTGGTCTAAAAATGGTCACGTGGTAGAAGAAGAGAGGAGAAAGTTTAAGGAAAGAAACTTGGAAATAAAGGGAATTCAGTTTGAAGACCGCGGTATGTACACCTGTACAGCGGAGAACCTGTTGGGCAGAGTCCAACTATCAGTCAATGTAACTGTCAATGGTATGTAATTAATTCAGCCCACATTAACAAACACGCGGTCTTGTCCTTGTTCGACCATCAATAATTCCTTAAAGTGGTAAATGTAAACTTGAGGAGTTATTTGCGTTTTGCATTTAACAGAAATGACTGCATAAAATAAATTTCAAATATAACAGGAGCTAAAATGACAGAACAAGGGTGAGTCACGAGTTTCTGCTTCAAAATGGCGGCTTGCTTTATTTAGGACAATCACAGTTCTCGACTTAAGCTTTTCTTCAAGAATATTATTTTCATTTCTCTTGGTAAGGAAAGGTTAAGACCTGTAAAAGCGTCCTATTAAAATTAACATTTGTGAGATAAATTTAAGGAAAATATAGTTTCATGAGAACCAATATGGAATATTGAAATACGGTATTATATAAAAATCCAACAATGATATCTAAATATTTAACAATTATTCCATGAGCCCGCGTTGGATATGAGAGGATAAATAGCCAACGAGCGCGTAGCGCGAGTTGGCTATAATCCTCTCATATCCAACAAGGGCGAATGGAATAATTGTTTTATTAAAAACCTCACTAAACTAAACTTCGGTATTGCTTTATCAATGGACTGAGTGATTTTTCAGTTCAATCTAAATGAAGCATCATTTGTATGAAAACGGCGGCAAAAAGTCTGGCGCGGTCTGCCAGTTCAGTTAGCACAGTGAATGAAAAGAAAGCAAAGCAGAATTTTAATCTTCGCTCTGTGTCTTCTAAAGTTTCGTATATTCTGGGAAATTGTGCAAATGGTTTAGCTTAAAATAGAAAGATCAGAAATAATTGTGGCGCTGAACATTATATTCATTTTACAAGTTGAATGAACAGCTGAACGGATTGTTTACGGCGAGCAAATCGTGTACGACTACAAAATCAATTGTGTTGAAACCAGCGAAACTGAGCCAGTTAAAATCAAGTTCACTGAAGTAAAAAGCAATGGAAAGCGTCGATATCTACATGGATGGAGAGAAAAAGAGTGATCTTCGAAGATGCTTTCACTGTGAAGTGATATTTGATTGTACTTTACCACCACGAACGCTCGACGAACTGTCGTATGCTTCTTCTCCGATATTTAACTGAGATTGTGCTGATTTTAAAAGCTTAGTCCAGCTGGAATTGACAAGCTAGCTTCTTCGAAACACAAGGTAACTACTGAATAGGCTAAGCTTAAACTTGTGTTGTAAACAGGTTTTCATTCATTTTGAACGAATTTGTGCAGATTTGTATTGCGGGTTTTCGAATTTTACCGTAAATTGCTTCATGCTGCGCTTCCTTTAGTGTGCGTTCAGTTGCATTTGTTGTACATTAATTACAGGCATTTCCCATTAAATTTTTCGTTCAAAACTTTGCTGCATTTTCTGTTACTTCGTCTTCAGTCAATTCTGCCGCGAAACAATTTTCTCCGGCGGCCATTGTTCCTTGCGGAGAGGAAAACAAAAATCAGCTCTCTCTCTCTCTCGCTGACGCGTTCATGTTTGTCGGAGCTGGTATATCAGCTGTTAGACTGTCTCCGTTTAACCAATCAAAAGGCTAGAAATCTAATATCCGTGGTCCAGTTTTTAATAATGCTGTATATTTCTACAAGTAAAAATATACACTGACGATACTACATACTTAACTGTTTAATAAGAGATTTATTATCCAACTGCTTTGTGACCGTCAAAAAAACGAAGAATAAGAAGCGCGCGCTTACGGTTTCCATAGCAACTAAATAACTAACTCGACAAAATAACTAACTATAATAGAACGGTTTTCAATTGAGTGTCGTGAGACCAAACCAAAGCAATTACATTGGCCAATCACAACAAACGAAAACAACACAATGAACCAATGACAACTCGAAGCAAATACACGTAACCTGCGCCGAGCGCGGGAAAACGTGTGTGACCAAGTCGCGATTGGTTTTGGTTTTGCATATCTGATTGGTTGAGAAGGGACGTGGCGCGAGTTTTTTGAACCAATCATAGAGCGCAGTAAAGCAAAATGCAGTGATTACTTTCGACAGTCAATCGACTGAAACCTCTCTATCGCGAGATATTTGTACTCGTTTTGCGCCTTATTTGTACTCTATTGACTGCAATAATGGATAATAAAAAAAAGTGCCCAACATCATATATTTTATGCCAATATTTCTATATTTTTTTCTTCCAGTACCAACAAAATTTATCACAGAGCCAAAGAGTTCTGTGACCGCTTACAAGACATGGGACACGATTGTGAAGTGTGACATTTTTGGCCTTCCCTCCCCTGAGATTACATGGACAAGATCACACAAGAAACTTCCAATCAACAGACATGTCTTAGCTGGGAAGAAACTTACGATTAAAAACACAACAGGGGACGATGGTGGTGCTTATGTATGCCAAGGAGCTAATGAATGGGGGAATGTAATGTCAGTGATATGGATCATTGTAAGAGATGTGGGTAAGCTAAGAATATCAAATCAAAGGATCCTATGAGCTGACTCGTGAATGATAAATTAATTTGCATAAATTAATAGCGCGATTATAATTTACAGCCCAAAGACCGACCGACCGACCGACCGAGAGAAATTTGTCCACCAAATGCTATAACCAGCTCATTGCTTTCGCTTTCACGAGTTAAAACTGTTTTGTTTTTTTGTGAATGAAAGCACGTTTGTAATGGTGTCATTTACCTGTTTCTTTAAGTGAATCCTTCCATTGTGTCCAGACCCCCCAGGGACATTCAAATACAGAATGTGGGTGATACTGTAAAGTTGAATTGTTCAGCTCATGGCTCGCCGCTACCTCAAGTCAAATGGTTCAAGGATGGACGACGTGTTATTTCTACGGCAATGTATGACGGGACAGATTTAATAAAGAGTGAATTTGTCATTCATCGCTTCAAGCCGAGTAACGCTGGTATCTACACGTGTCTATTTCATAATGAGAAGAATAAGACAGCGGAAGCCAACACAAACCTGAGTATGTGAATAATTTGCTTATTTGTGTGGGGGGGGGGGGGGGGGGGGGGAGGAGGAGTCTAGGGAGGCGGGATAAGAGAGGGCGGGAACCGGGAGAAATATAAAAAAAATTCGCGACAATGTGTAACATTTTTTCAATAGAAAAAGAACAAAGAAGCCACCTAGTTATATGGCCTAAGTTCCCACGAGTTTCCTGCAGCTCAGTGGTAGAGCGTTCGTTCGTTCGTTCGTTCGGTGTGCGGAAGGTCATAGGTTCGACTCCTATTGGGGGAACTCGGAATTGTTGTTTTTTCGTGTAGCTTGTGTCACTGACTGAATCATAGGGCCGCAGAAAATGTAGCAGTTTCTGTAATCACATTTGTGTTTACGGGAATAACATCTTTCATAATTATCCTGTTATTTTTATCTTTAAGCCTTAGTCAATTGTGGTGATCCTGGTTCTCCATTTAACGGACAAACACATGGCTCACGATACTGGACTGGTGAATCTGTGACGTTCATTTGTCATCCGGGATATCGTTTGATTGGACCGACCACTAGAAAGTGTCTGCCTTCCGGTGACTGGAGTGGTATGCAGCCTTCATGTAAGCGATGGAATAAATATATTCCATGTTGCCGTTGTCTGTTCAGTTACACTGAGATGCACAGATGACGTCAAAATGCGGTAAGAACAAAAAAGTGATCTACGAGATGAAGTCGAGTGGATCAATGATGTTCTTACCACATTTTGACGTCTACTGTTTTCGATAAATTAAATGTTGGGTTTTCAACGGTGAAAAATAGTTTTGCAAAATTTTACCGATAACAAAGTGATCAACGCTGAGGGATGGCCGCCGTATTGGGAAATAAATGCGAATGCGGCGCAGTGACGTCATCTATGTGTCTGTCCGCTGATAGATCACGAACCATACAGTCGAAGAACTCCGAGCGGACACTCTCTTAATTAGCGGACAGCTCTACTTACGGCCGCCTTGACAAAACTCCGCTTGAACTCTAACTCATACAAACTCTGTATTTACACGCGTTCCCGTAAGCGGCCAGCTCCAGAGTTGAGGACACTTTTCCTGCTTCCTCGGGGTGTTCGCTTACAGGAGCTTCCACTGTATCTCAGTTATTGCATAACATGCTATGCAGTTATATACACTTTTATTTTTACTGCAACGTCTGTAACAATAAATTAAATTGGAATAATGTGAGGATTGAAGAAGAAACTGGGGGAACATAGTAGATCAAGCATTGCTCGGATTTGTTTTTTTCTCGCTTATAGAGAGGTTTTTAGAAGAGTGTCGTAAAACCAAAACCAATGCAATTACAATGACCAATCACAACAAACGTAAACAAAGAAACGAACCAATGAATTAACTCGAAGCAGATACACGTAACCGGCACCAAGCGCGGGAAAACGCGTGTGGCCAAGTTAAGTTATTGGTTTTGGTTTTGCATCTGATTAGTTGAGTATGTGGCGCGACTTTTTTAACCAATCATGAAGCCGTAGTAAAGTAAAACCAAAGCAATTCCAAATTACTTTCGACACTCAATTGAAAACCGCTCAAACTTTTATTCCCGTCACTACTTTTAAATATGAAGGTCACAGAACTTGTCCTCCTTTGGGAAGCTTGGAGTATGGTGTTACTTACGGACAGCAATACTGGGAAGGAAAACACATTTCACTAACATGTAATCCTGGTTACTGGCTAAAAGGATCACAACAACGTCACTGCCTTGAGAATGGTACTTGGACAGGAGTTCAACCTTCGTGTATAGGTAAGAGGCATTTTAAAATAAATATTGATAACAGCATTTAACTAATGATTCCCAAACATATTAAAAACATATTGAATAGAAGCAGGAAAAACGAAATTAAATGTAAAGACAGATGCTCATGTCCTTTTGTTAATAAAAGAGGAAGAGGAAGAAACATTGTTTTCGCGTCGAGAGCAGAACGTGATTTATATGTTTTCCATCATAAATTATCCGTTTCTATCTCCGCTTTTCGCTGTTACTTGTTTTACATTATCTATGGCAAACCGTGTTTGATCAGCTTTCTAACTACAAACTCGAAATACAGCAGAAAGTAAAGTTCCTTGGCTTCGACCCCGAATGAATGGGATATCTGGGGTTTAAACAAGCAAATATTTCAAAGTCGTAAGATAGTGCAACCCTGAAAGAACCGAAACCCTTGAAACCCTTTCGTCATGCCAGCAATAATTAAATTACTCACTTAGTTTCACGCTAAAAATGTTTGTTTCTTCTTTAAGCGACCGTACAATCAAATATTATCCAAAGCAATGCATTCTTCTTGAGTCATCTTGCTCGATTTCTGGATCGCCTGGCTGGTTCACATCCAATTTGGAAGCTGTGTTGGCGAGCCTCCGCTCACGGCTGGGCGGCAAGTACCTTCCATAGCAAGTGTGATGGTAAACATAACACGGTAACCATCATCCAAAAGAACCAGTACGTGTTTGGAGGATTCACTGACATTCCTTGGGGTATGGATCAGTATAATACTAGAAATAAGTGCCTCGACGAATCTCGCGAACGAAATAAAATTTAACGAAATTTGGATCCGATTGTTGGATTTTAGGGTGCATTATTGGGTGAACGGGTAGAGGTGTTCAGTTCTGCTGACATTCTGTGTGTATAACTTTTCCTGGCTGGTAAATCTTTAATTTTAATACAATATATAACAAAGCCAGCAAAGTCGCGCGATATGAACCACTGTTCTTGGATACGTTTTGAGTACCGCGTATTCAATGTAAACTTCACTGCGCTAAGCTTGGAGCAATTCTTGAGGAGTCGTTCCTTGTCCAACTCGCAGTGTAATTAAAAAAAAAGAAAACAACAAAAAAGGACCCAGGGCGGATACGAACCCGGGCCCCCGGGTCCCGATCGATGATCAGATTGACAGGCGAGTAAGGATGGTGTTTGGCAGAAGAAATAAATAATGAAATGTGACTGTACTTGATCCCAGCTGTACTCCTTGCCGACAAAATCATAAGCCTCGTACGCTCGACCTCGCTTCGCGAGGAATAAACAGCTATTGTCACTTTTTTAATGCATGATTGTTATTAACCTATGGGTAAACAGGCGGAGTGCGTGAACCATGAAATACTGCCAATCGACGATGATATCTGCGATTTTAAGTAATGTTGGTATCTTCAGACAACCTCAGACGTATACCAGGGAAAGTGCATGCCAAACACCCCCCTCCCACCAACCCAACCCCCACCCCTCACCCCCACCCGTACCACTGACCCACTGACTAACCTTGTAATATATTAAATAATGTAATGAAGAAACGAACACGAAACGAATGCAAAATGGAATCCATTTTTAAAACGTGATGTATAAAGTATGTGCCATTTTCTAGGCAAAATATGGACGGTGACGCATAGCCACATATACTTATTACTGCATTATTTTTTCTTCTTTCTTTCATTCAGTGTAAAACTTATTACCCAGGCCCTTCCCAACCAGTGTGTCTTGCTGGCGTGTACATCCGGGACATTTTCCATGCTACACGTCAATCTTAAACCGTTCCAGAACACTCTACGGTTGCCAAACAACTGTTGAGATATTCCGAAATATGAGCAAATTATGTAACGAAGAAAATGTACTAAACTAACATAATGCTTCTGACTTACTGATTTGCACGCTCTTCTTAGTGTTGCAATAGAGCAGCTCTCTTAGTATTTCCTTGTGATTACACGTCGCATATTATAACAAGGTTCGCTGCTGATTAAAATGACTAAGATAATATGCCACGCTCGACATGTAAAATGTAACCTGGCATGGAGACTACCAGGATAAAATTGCTAATTTGCCAACTTTCCTTTGTACTGGAATTTATTTAATACCGCGAGAGACTGGGCTACAATGAGTAAGGTGAATGCAGATATCGAACATGGCCTATTACCCTCTCTTGTTAATATCATTTATTTTTTATTTATATCTTGTTTTTTCAAATGATGTTTCAGATTCCAGTGATAGTTATGGTTCTACTTCCAACGCGTTCATTTTCTCTCTCCGCAACAAAGAAGGTCTGGCACCATTTAAAAGCATGGTGACACAGCCGTCAAATGCAATTTACAGGGGCTCATCTTATGGTCCAACATTTGGTAACGGGTGGGACATCATCATTTATAACAATGCCAACAGTAACACTGGTTCATACACAAATTTTGGCAGCTACTCCTACTCTGTTCCAAGTGGAGTACAAGACAGGAAAACAATCCTGGCTGGGACTTACAACTTCTCACCCGATGAAGTGGAAGTGTTTTATCTTGGCTAATTCACAAGATGTCGCGATTAAAAAAAACGATAAACCGTTCATACATATTCAGTTATTTACTTGGTGTCGGTGTTGTAGTTTGTAGACCGTGTCAAAATATACCGGTGTCAGAATGTTAACAAAAACTGTCATTATAGGCTGGTAGCTCTGTTTCTAATGGAAAAGATACAGTCGTGTGCAAAATATGTACTTTCTTTTCGGGTTGGTATTTTTAATATTTCGTTTTCATTGGTATACTATACTGATATATGTAGTACCATTTTGGGAAAAAAAATTATATTTGCAATAATCAAAATAGCCAAGATAATTTATGCAAGTTTATAATCAACAATTATAAAAGGGTTTTTTGTTAAAGGCTTCTCAAGTCTTTAACTTAAATTTTTTTAGAATATAAATTATTATGTTGAAATATTGCCTGTGATGTAAGAATTGTTAATATAAATAAATTACCGTGTGAGCAGACTATGTCTAAAACAATTCTCTTTACGTACGAGACGTACAACGGAAGGGGATTTATTTGGGCTTATTTGTCGGAGGGGGGGGGGGGGGGCTGGGGGGGGGGGGGGGCTGAGGGGGTGGGAACCCGGGAGTACAGGGCGCGGGAAGCCTACGGGAGGCGGGAGAAGAGAGGGCGGGAAGCAAGATTCCCAAGGTGGCGGGAACCGGGAGAGCTCGGAAAACATTTCGCAACATTGCACAATATTTTGCAATAGAAAAAGCACAACGAGGCGGAACCACAACGGAAGAGGCGGGAACCGGGCGAGAAGTTTAGACGTCGTGTCGTAGGCTTGTCGTAGGCTTGTCGTAGGCTTGTCGTAGGCTTGTCGTAGGCTTGTCGTAGGCTTGTCGTAGGCTTGTCGTAGGCTTGTCGTAGGCTTGTCGTAGCCCGCATGCGACAAAGTTATCAATCCCGACTGAAGGTTTACTACTTTTAGCGGCTACTAAATTTAGAGATTTTTCTTTCCCAAGTTTAGCGACTTTC